CAGCGAGGGTACTGAAGACGGCGAGAGCACCAAGAGACGGACCCGCTGGGAGTCGGCCCCCAGGAGTCGGCCGGCCCCTCCCACGGGCCCCACAAGCCATTAACCAGACGCGACAGGGGAATGGCAATAGTGATCGCCCGACAGGCGGCGGCACTGTTGCCATGACCCCATGACCAAGCCCGCGTCATTAGAAGCACGGCAACAGTAATCTGCAGCCAGCACGACCCGCCCGCGGCAGACAAGGGCTGACGCCCTCGTACCAGGCCAGTCGGCGGGCCCCAGGAGTCGGCGGAGAAGACGACGCCTGAGAGACAGACGACTGGGACCCGCGCCCAGCCGGTTTTACCATTGTACCCCTGGGGGTAGGCCTATATAAACCCCCCAGGGCACCCATGCAAAGGGTTCGCATCCATTAACATTAGACAGACCCCATAGGAAGGAGAGAGCTAGCCTTGCCCTCTGTTGCCTCCAGAAACAGCTCTAGGAGCAAGCTTGTATTCACTTTGCCATAGTGACCATGCGGAGACCCCGCAGAGCAGCAGTAGGGGTGTTATCTCCTCGGAGAGCCCTGAAGCTGGGTAAGATCCGCCGGCGTGCATGTCTTCGCCTCATCCCATTTCCAGGCACCGGCGACGTCCTACTCGCCCCCACCATGATAAGCCATCCCTTGGCATATGTCGCTCCCAACCCCCAACAGTTCTAAACTTCTGGATATCATGAGATAATTGCAGATAATATGTCTTAGTTATCAATTTAGCTCTTAATCTCTTCCTCACACATAGAAAGAGAGAGAACGGGAAGTAGGATACGTGGCTGTAACACCCCGGATTCGATGCGCCAGGTGTCTGCCAGTTATTCGCCATCCTTGCCATGTCATTTGCTTGCTTATTGCATTTTATCATGTCATCATGTGCATCTCATTTTGCATACGTGTTCGTTTCTTGCATCCGAGCATTTTCCCCGTTGTTCGTTTTGCAATCAGACACTCCTATGTCATCCGGCGTCCCCTTCTTGTCTCTTTTCATGTGCGGGTGTTAAACATTCTCGGAATGGACTGTGATTTTCCAAGCGGCCTTGGTATACCACCGGTAGACCACCTGTCAAGTTTCGTTTCATTTGGAGGTCGTTTGATACTCCAACGGTTAACCGGGGAACCGTAAAGCCCTCTTTTGTATGCAGCCGAACACCCCTCCAAAGCAGCCCAATAACCCATCCAAACCCCCTCCATGCTCTCGGTTGTTCGAACACGATCGTGTGGGCGAAAACCGCACCTCATTTGGAGCCTCCTAGCTCCCTCTACCTATAAATAAGTCCCTTCCCCCGAAATTCGCGGTGCAAACCCTTATTCTCCTCCCTCACCGCGCCGGACATGTCCGTCCGCCGCCGGACACACCACGCCGCCGCCCTGAGCGAATCAGAGGCCGCCATGTGGCGCTCCGCCACCGCGCCGCCCGCTGGCCCGCCTGGCCCACGGGGAGCCCGCCCCGGGTCGGTTCGGGCCCGAGCTCCCTGCGCCCGCAGCGCCGCCCGGCCACCGCGGGGCTCCGCCGCCCGCTTGCCTCCGCGCCCCACGGCC